GCTTGAAATATTATATCCTCGAGTTACCACTTGAACATCAAATTTTTAACAAAAAAAATGATTTTAAAAAATATGAATAGTTTGGTGACTATTTATATTTTAATAGCCAAATGATTCAACAAAACAGTCTCCTATAGTTGGAAGACTATTTTATAAGTTTTAATAGTTGAGGGACTTTACAAATCAGCTCCTTATAGTCGGAGGACCATTTGTGTACTTTACCCAAATAATAATCGGTGATTTGAAAATTTGAATTTCAAAACTCTGACCTCTCCTAACAACTATAATAGTGGCTGCGCTTCGCTTCCACTTCCACTTCCTCCCTCTCTCACTTTGCCCCTGCGCTTTCAGTCTTCTTACTCTGTTTCGTTATTGGTTTAAAACCATAAACCCCGAAATCACATCCCAGTTTTTCTTTTGAGAAGACCAAATAGAAAGACAATTCAGCTGCCATTTCGTGTTTGATTTGCTAGAAAATGGCGGAAGCGGAGTTAAGCTATGAAGAAATGCGTAGACAGAGGTTAGAAGAGAACAAGAAAAGGATGGAAGAACTCAATCTCAAGAACCTCTCTCAGGCTTTGAAGATCAAGAGCCCCAAGTCATCTCCGGTGAGTGTATGAGATGACTGTATATGCATCTATCTCTATACCTTTTAAACTTATATAAACTCTGAATGATGCAGGGGAAGCCCCGGAAGCCTCGGAAGCGGGCGGAGCTAACATCGGTGAGAAGGTCTAGTCGCGTTGCAGACAATCCCAAACCAAACTACAAAGATGTAAGCTATCTCTGAGATGCGATTTACAAAATTACCTTTCAAGGTTTTTGTCAACTGTCGTAAACTAGTGCTGAATGATACTACTTCGTGGATTTAAATAGCGTCCGGCTATCAAAATAACGGTCACTATATAACAATAGTAGTGCTGTCCGAAATTGTTATTGTTCTGTTATGGTAAAATAAAATAAAAATCAACAATCTGCTGCTACAATTAAATTTTTATTACCACCGTGATACCCGTAATGATCACAATATCATCCGTTGCTTCTATAACCACGATAAATGCAATACAACTAAAAATACTGCCACAATTGTAATTTAAATCCTTGAATACTATTATCCCTTTCCAAAAATGCTTTTATCGGTGTACAAGGGTATTTTAGAATGTTTTTCTTTGTTGCTACTTGAATTCAAAATGATAAGTTCAGAATTTGAAATGTTCGAACCCGCAATGACACAATTGCAAGTCTATGTAACATATTGTTAACATTTGAATGACAACGTAACCGATGACACAATTTCTTGATGGTTGGCATGGCAGGTCCCTATTGAACCTTTGGAGAGACTTGGAAGGTTAAGCTCTAACCGGATAATTCATATATATTATTGTGTGTTTGAGTGGAGTTTCTTACTTTCTTAGATTATTTCAGCCTTATATTGTTTACTATTTCAGGAGCCACAGCCGGAGAGATTTGCATAATCGAGTTTATGCTTCAGCTGAAGAAAGAGCTTATGCGATTGAAAGAGCAGAACATCTCGAATCTACTTTAGAATCCGAGTATCCGAGTTTTGTGAAACCCATGCTTCAATCACATGTAACTGGAGGGTTTTGGCTGGTAAGATTGTTGCATTGCATTCCAACTCTTCCATCTTTCTTAATCCTTTGGCTTTTGTTAAATAAGGAAAGGAAATTAAATAAAATTTTGGATTGTGACATATTGAACAGGGTTTCCCCCTCCATTTTTGCAAGGAAAACCTGCCTCATCATGATGTAACAATGACTTTGGTGGATGAGGAAGGGGAGGAGTTTGAAACCAAATACCTTGGGGAAAGAATGGTCTTAGCGCTGGATGGAGAGGGTTTGCAATCGACCATAATCTAGTTGATGGGGATGCTTTAGTATTCCAGATGGTAGCTCCCACTGAATTTAAGGTGACCAATTATCATCCCCTCCCAACTTCTATTTCATGCTTGAACACCGATCGCTCCTATAAGACTACCATAATTTCTTACTCTATTCTTGAATATGGTACAAGTTGTTAATTATGCTCACACTGTTGTTCCATAGGTGTTCATTATCAGAGCATATGGGTCAGAAGATGATAGAAGTGGACAAGGTAATGATGAAGAAGTAGACGAAGAAGATAACAAGGAGGTGGATGTTGAGCCAGACGTCCAGAACAGAAGATCTAAACGAATTCGTGCAAGTAATTACTTTCCACTCAACTTTCAATTTACTAGCATGTTCTTCACTTTATTTATCAATGAAGTTGATATAAAATGGGAAAATTTTGATTAATTGAATACTATGGAAGTGGTTGTCTGATTTCAAATCTTTAGATTAACATTTTGATATTGTTAAGCTTAAACTCTGATTCATAAATGGTTTTTGCAGGGAGATAGCGAAGCCATGCCATGAAACAGAACTGATTTCTTTTATTTTTAGTTAAGAGGGTAAAGGAAATGCAGACATTTAGCTGATGATATATGATTGTCACCTTAGGTTCTGCACTTCAATTGTTAACAGTGTCTGATTTCAAAACTCTGATTGTAATGTGTTCCCCTACTTGTCCTAAACCTTTTTATTAAAATCAACTGACCATCTTTGATATAACTTATTGTTTGAGGTTGGAATTCCATCTTCACATCATAATTTAGCCATCTGCTGTTTGAATGTTGGATCGATGCAAACCGTCACCAGTAATGTTAAATGGAATCAAGACCTAATTGTGATCAAGTGAATGAATTAGCAGCAAATAGTTGATGCGAATTTTAGCTCACCTTGCCTCTACTTTTACCTCCATGGAGATGCTCAACAGCATCTGCAACAGAATGCAAACCTGCAAATCTTTTTGGATCTAGTTCAACCTAATACAATTGAACTTTAGCATGTTAGGAACTCAATTCACAACATCAATATTTTTAAAGTGTTGGTATCTATTGTACTCTAAATAAAAAATTTGTATAATCAAGATCGAAGGGTGTATTTAGTACCTTAAGTTTTCCTGAATAATAAAGATAAAATAGTCTATCCAGATGTTCTTTCCATAAATAGCTATATTGTGGCAGAGAAAAGCCAGCCTGAAAGCAAAAGCATTTGCAAAACAACAAAATCACAAGAAATCCTCAGCCGAAGAATACAAGATGATAGAAAGTTATATCCACATATTCAAGGTCCGAAAAATGTCAAAGATGAACTTTTCAAGATAAAAATGATGTAAGGCTATCCAAGCTTTTTCAAAGATGGAGAAGTTGGCAGCCTTGTTGCTTCTCGATCTAGGAGAGACACCAAATGCTACACTTGAATTAATAAGTAATTTGCACAATATAAAGAAAGTAATGATTAAATGGAAATTATGAAGGAAATGAAATGATAAGAAATGAAAGTGATATAATTGTTATCAAAGGTAGGTTGTGGAAGTGTTGTAGAATTGTCCTTCAAATATAAAGGATTCGGCCTCCAATGGTGATGATGGACGTGAACCTTAATGATAGATGAAGGATGATTCAATGATGAAGAAATGGTAATAGAATGGTGATGATATAGACGTGAAGGTGATAGAAGATGATGGTCAAATAGTATCTTAAATAAGCCAAAGAGGAAGCAAAACTATAGAAAGTTTAACCCTTTCTTATAAACTTAAATAAGGGATGATATGAAAGGACTTGAACCCACTAAAATTAGAACTAGGAACTCAAAGTATCAATGGAAGGGGTTGACGCCACAAACTTAGAAAGCTTGCTTAATCGATATAGTTCTTAAAGAACTTGAAGAGAGAATAATCTCACAAAGAGTTTATATTATCAAAGGGTTGAGTTTACAAATGAATGAGCCTTCCTATTTATAGAATTTGGAAGGGCTGACCGAATAAATACATGCCTATTCGGCTGAATACATGTCTTTAAATGAAAGTGTATGATGTTTTGATGAATGGAGATGTCCTTGGCCAAATGGTCTCCTTGTTGGTTCATCTTGGCGCCAATTTGGATAGTCACCTTGCTTTGGCCGAATAGATAGAAGTCTCTTCACTTTGGCGCCTAATTGTTCAAACACGCATGGCATATGGGTAGGCTGGTCATGAGGCACTCACATGGGGTCATAGGATGCTTGTTGTGTGGTCATCCATAGAATGAAGATAGGCAGCAAGCTAGGCGTGACTTGGCATCCAACATGTGTCTAGGTGACATGGCATCAAATGGGTAGCAACTTATCATGAAAGGTCACATTGTGTGTAAGGTAACCTTTCACCAATTGAGCTACTTCCCATGTGTATGAGCTGAAGATGAGCTAGCCATAGATGAAGGACATGTGGGTGAGTCTTTGGACAGCTCCTTGTGAAAAGAAACCTCTTGGAATGACAACTATTCCCGAAAAGGTACGAATCCACAACAATTGACCTAGACCATATTTGAAGTACTTTGTGTGTGGTGATGATGGTGCAACTCTCCAACTGAAATGAGATGTCTAGCTAGCTCAAAAGTCCAGCTCAAGTCACTAGGACTCGGAGGGTAGCTGACCTTTTGTCCCAAAATGTTCTTGAGCTGTCACGGAGTTGTCCTAGTCATGTTTTCATAGCTCTTGGACTCCAATGCAGCTTTAAGTTAGCTCTCATCATGTGGCCGCCTATGTACCTACAAAAGAAAACATAATGTAAGTTAAGTATTAAAAGCAATAAACATATAATGTGGACTATAGGTTAATAATAACTCATGCATTATATGATCATGAATGAATATTATTATTATATAACTATAGATTATATACATAATATCAATCAACGATGCAAATTTGACATAATGAATGAATGCACATGTTATGATAATTCAAGTATAGTCTAATATGAAATGTATGCTCATAATATATAGTGCATAATGAGTAAGTATAAGATAAAGTAAGGTAGAACTCCCTTAGATTGAACTTGATGGATCTAGAATGAGTGAGCATGTCATGAAGAAAGTTGGTGCTAGACAGGATCACATCAAAAATGAAGAGATCAAAAAACCAAGGACAGCTTATAAACAACTTAAAGTTCATAATTAACAACATAACACGTTTTAGCTTTTGGCTAAAAGCTTCTCCACAGACCAGGATAATTTTCGGTTGCCACCCATGCTATCCTTGATACTATACATATGAAACAGATAGTTTAACCAAATAAGAAAGACGATAGGTCCCAAGAAAAAAACATAAGCGATAAATTGCAAATATTAAGATTGACTACATGGGAAAATTTTAGTTTGTTCACTCTGAAAGAAACACCTGAGAGATCATTCCTACAACAATGAGTCGCCAACGGATAGCCAAAGCATTCAAGCACAAATCAAACATGTCACCACCTACAGATTCGTAGACAATGTCAACTCCTTTTGGAAACTCATCTTTGAGAACCTGGCAAACTAAAAAGTCTTAGATTTCATTTGTAAAACCAACCGAATGTATAGCTCATCACACGGGCCATTATGCATGGCAATCAATAACTTAGTCAGGGAAACAGTACTTAGATCAATCTCTGACATTGTGGGCTTGTGCATAGACGACGATTAAAGGATGGAAGATATCTATATTCATGGAAGAGGTGTCGAGATTATCTGATTTGGAAAAGCAGTCGAGTAGACTACAACCCGTCTGATCAAATTTAGCTCATTGTTAAAAGAATCTTATATTTCAAAGTATTGAGAAAAACATCAGCAATAATCTGATCAAATTTTATGCAGTAAAAAATAATTTGTATCAAACCAATGAAGTTGCCCCCCCCCACACACACAACACACACAAAAAAAGGAGAAAATTGACAAGAATTACAGACATACAGTTCTGATATCTTCAGCTTTATAGTCTATGACTCGATCAAACCCCCAACTCTTTCAAAGCCTCGCCTTTTCTTTTCATCCGCAAGTGGCAACAACTTTATTTCCTGCTAGTTTTGCAAGCTGCACATATAGTTCTGATTAATATTTTGTTTACTTCCTGGAGAACGTAGGATATGACATAAGAGTATACAAAAATGATATATAATGTTGAAGCAATAAAATGAGTACAACCATAAAATTGAACTACTAGCACTAGAGGAAGAAATAATATAAATATAAATATATCTTAAAGTTATTTGGGTAAATAAATAAATATCAAAAGTCATCATGTATAAACTAAGACAGGAATGAAACAAAAGTACAATAAGGTAATGATAGAAATCACCAAGCTTGACTTTGTTCACAAACAATAGGGAAACATGTATCCATCATATAAAGTTGACCACATCATATAGTGCTTGGACAAATTCAAGTAATAAATAAGTTTAAATTAATTTAGGACGAACCTGGACTGCAAATTTCCAGTCCCTCCAGCAGCAGCAGTTAAAGGACGACTTTCCCAGATTCCATCAGACCACCAATAAGATAAAAAAAATTGGACACAAAACAGACTGAATGGAGGACTACATTGTACACCAAGAAAACGTGACAAAAGAATATATATGGACACAAAATGTTACAGGGAGAATTCAGGCAAATACGACGTAGGTGATGGCCAGATGGGTGAAAAGTTCAAGAGTACAAGGGATAGGGGAGAATTCAGGTCTTCCAATGGAAGTATGTGCTTTGAAGGGACCTATTTTTGTTCAACATTCAATATTTATTCTCTTATCAATTTAAATACGATTTAGAAGAGAAGGAATAAAAAAAAATGAAATAGAAGATGAACAAGATGCTTATAACATAATAATAAAAACGGATGTCATACCGTCATAAATTCAGCATAACTTCCATAACCATGATTGCAGCAGGAGTTCCAACTTCCAAATTACTTACAGAATCTCCAACGGCGGCAAATATTCCTACTGCCTGGAATAGCAAATAGCACGAAGTTAGCTAGATATCACATGTTTGGCCAAAAAAGCCTAATATCAGATGCAGTGATAATTTTACAACTAAAACCATAAGATATCAGCATGACTGAACTATATTACCACATGTTGGCATTTAGTTAATTTTTTTCCGCACCTCAAATCCAGCATCAAATGGGAGAAGGGAACTGATGTCTTTCTTGTTTCCTAGGAAATAACGACCTGAGCTAAAGTTCACCTGTGTGTAACAAATTATTCAATAATATAGACATAAGTGCTTAAGTTTGTAATTACACATTGTAAATTTATTGAGAAAAGGCTGAAACCTGCATAGGAATAATTATTACCGAATGGACAGTAAGATCAACAAAACAACAAAGAGTAAATCATGATACTTGTTCTCTTTCTTACCTCCACGCCCTTAATATCTTTGTAGGGAAAAGAAAGAAAAACCAAATTGCTTTTTTTTTTAATGGTAAAACAATGATAAATAGGCACTTCCCAACCAGTTCCCTTCTTACTTTCCAAGATTTTCACTACAAATGGGAAGAACCTACAGCCAGTAGTTGCAAGTGATAACCTTTTCTCCCCTTGGCTTGAAGGTGTCCTGAAATTAAAACAAAAAGAAGGAATTCCTTTCTTTGATCCATCTCTTTGTTCCGGTCTAATGATTTTTGGTTATCATCCAAGCCTTTGCAACCATTTGCACCTCTCTTAATTAACTTAGCAATATCCCATCCTTTCTTGTGCGTGTCCTAGCCGTCTAAGCAAATCTTACTCATCCACGCATAAAAGTGAAAAGGTTGAATGCAAAATTAATTAATTAAGATTACTCAAACAAATTATTCATTGAAGGATACTAGAAAACTTACATCACATGCGTTTACACCAGCATAAATGATTTTCAAAAGAACATGGCCTGCTTCAATTGGTAGTTTCAATGGCACACGTACTATGTGAGTAGCATCACGAAAATTGTGACTCAATTTATGCACAACTCTGAAGAGGAAGAGAAAAAAGGCAATAGTCAGCAGCTATAAGAAACCAATTAACATCTCACCTTCTATGACGGTTATTAGCAGCAACTAATACAAAAGAAAGTAAAGTGGAAGATATTCATGTATGCTTGCTTCTATGAGTTTAGAGTTTGAGATTAATGAGCAGAAATGGAACTACGAAGTAGAAAAAAAAAAGAAAATAGATGTTAAAAATGTATTATATCAGTTAATTGACAAAAGCCAAGGTCATAAGTGCTATAAAAGCAGTTCATCATATCTACATTTTGTGAAGTATGCAGGACCTATTTATTATATTTCGCTTGCCCACTGTACTGTTTCTGCCCCAATATTTATTTCACTTCACCTATTCAACTATTTTTTTTCTTTCTTATCTATTTTCTATCAAATTATTGTTTTATCTTTTTTTCTTCCTTTCTACTAGATTGGGGTAGACTAACAAAATGAGAAGATATAAGATTTCAGAATGAACTGGAAGCAATAGTTAGATTTTTTTTAAAAGCACTGAAGCAGATCTTAACACCAGCAAAGGTAATCAAGTTCAAAAATGTCTGCTGAATAAAAACTTTTAGATTCACACATGTTGTCCCAAAATTTTAGTTTATGAAACTGTGCAAGAACTCAATCTAGAGTTTATGCTGGCCAACCCAAGAATTGTACCCGTTCCTCCCCTCATATGATTCTACTTAAACTTCTCAAAACTGAGGCACTACTTGACATTTTACTTACACTTTCTCAAAACTCTGAGGAAGTTGGGTGCTTAAAGGAGCTCGAAATGGAATTTTTTCCCGAAATTTGAGGAAGAACGCAGCAAGTATTTTGCTTCTTCTGTTGGACCGGGACAATACTTCATACCTCTGCGGTTTGTAATCCATAGGCAAGAACCAGCCCTGCTCTCATCCATAATAGCTGAAAAGCACCTAGAAACGTACAAGTTCATAGAAAGTAATAGATTAAAGTTTTTCAAAAGCAGCAAAAAGAGGACCTTTAAGGCTGAACAAGAAGTAATAAGAGAAATTAAAAAAAAAAGTAATATGAGAAGCAAAAACTAATTTTTAATTTCAGCGTTTATCTAACAGAAAGTTTGGCAATGACAATTGACAAACCTCTGAAAAGAAAATGACAAGCTATCAAGTGAGAAAACAATTGTCTTTCTTTACATCTATAAAGCTCACCTTTTATAGGGTCTCAATTAAATGTACTGATAAATCCAGTGGGGAATGCAGTACGCTTCTTACTCTCTTGTTCAATTAATTATAGCATCTTGCTTTTAGCACAACCTAGGTTTACCAACTCCTCATCCTCCCTTAATTTTAATTTTTTTTTTTGGGGGGGGGGGGGGGTTCAAATCCTCCCTTAAACTTTGTGTTCAACAACTTGCACCCAACATGAATTTAGATACAAGCACGAAGCATGATCCTTAGATAAATGACAACACCTTAAAAATATCAAATATAAGACACAGATCCAAATTCGGGAAATGTCCATAAATGAAGACTTAATGAACAGGGACTATTCTATAAAACATAATATACCTTCCACCACTTTTTCCATCTGCACATAGCCACCTAGTAGAGGAAGATATTTGAGGCCTGCTTTTTCTCCCAGTTCTGTTTGAACAAACTACATCCAAATTCAATGGCAAGTTATAAGGATAAATAGTTTGCAGACAAAACATCAGCCACCGGCCAAAAAGAACAAGTAAATATTACTGAAAAGGTGGTGGTGATTGATAATTTGATAGCATCCAAATTCTTCAAGCCAGAGATTTACCTCAGGGCAAAGATGGCGTTTGTAGGGAGCTCATGATCTAGTAAACATGACAACACCCCTGGAAAACAAAAATTTTGATCAAGTGATCAATTACATGAATGCCTTATAAGCAACAATTAAATATAGATCACTTTTCTCATATTCAGTCAAACCCATTCATAATTTATCCATCCGCTGAGAAAACATTGAATGGAAGGTATTAAAAGCGAACTTAAAATATCAACGACAGCAGTCACATTAATGAAGCAAAATAAACCCACAAACCTTTTGAGGCAGAGTAAATGGGGTCTCCATGCATTGGGTAAGGCCTGCAGAGGAACCATATTGATTATCACCCCTGGCTTTTGCAGAGCTTGCATACTTTTAATCTGTACAAAGAATCGACAAATCATTCATTGCTGTACCAACGGACTGTCAAAAACCAAAACTGCATCAAGTGCTAGAAGTTGAGGCATTACCGCGAGGCGAGTACAATCAATAACTGCAACGAGGTTGACATTAACAGTATGTCTCGACGTCTTAGTGCCATCAGTTTGATCCTTCCAGAAATATGCTGGGTTACTGATGCCAGCATTGTTAATACATATATCCAATCCTCCATATGTTGTGACATGCTTCTCAAACGCTAAATTTAGATCCCCTATTCAAAACAAGAAGCATTTTTTTAATACAATGTAATTATCTTAGAGAACTACATAAAGAAATCCAATGACGCCGCAATTAAAAAAAATAGCAGAAGGAAACACTAGATTTTGGTGGAATTTGGAATTCTCTTTCTCAACTAAAGATACAACCTCCTCCCTTTCTCTCCTAGAAATCTACAACCGTCACAATATCCCCTTCCCTGCTAAAGCCAAGCACAAAGCTTTACCTGCACATAATTCAAATAACAGCCCGAACCAATTACACAAATCTTAAGTTTACGAGATCCGTAACAAATCAAAGCAAACCTGATAAATTGAAATGAACAATACTTGATCCAAAATATGTTACTTAATGATGAAAGAAAAGCCTGTGAAAGTTGTACCGATCCCAGAAGCACTGCCAGTGACCAGAGCTGATAAGCCGGGTTTAAGCTCCATTTGTCTTCTATTCTATTCTTTCTTCTGGTGTGACTGTGTGTAGAAATTGACAGAAAATGGATTCCCAATTATTAGGTGGGACTATGGTAGCATAGATAAATGTTTGTCACTGCCCGAAGTGTACTTAGGTGGGACTTTGGTAGTATAGATAAATGTCGGTAATGAAAGTGAACACAAGGTTTCATTCGCATGTAAGGGGCGTTTGATTAATAGGAGGAATCGTCTTTTTTAGAATTGTATTTTATATTTGGTTTATCAAAAAATTATTATTAAATAATAATTTATTATCAATAATAGTACTTTAGGTTAAAATGGTGGGAATGTTATTATTATCAGATTTTTAGGTAATGAACAATTCCTTTTATTTTGGACACAAATACTTTTGAAATAATAAATTTTTTCATATAGACCATTTTTCAATTTTTATTCTTCGTGTTTATTTAAAATTATAAACTTAATAACAATAATATACAAAGATTTAATTTAGTAAAATATTGATTAATTTGAGTAGTTAAAATAATTTTACATTTTTAATATTTAGTATATTAATTATTTTATAATTTTATGAGGTGAAAATATTATTATTGTAAAAAATAAAATTTTAAAACAATATTTAATTTTAAGTTATTAAAAATAGATCTTATATATTAAAAAATATTTATCCACTTGAGATCATAATATTATTTTCATATTATTTTATATTTTATATTTTGTAAAGTGGTATGATTACTGAGTATCATACATAAGAGGAGTTATGTGACCTCATTAAAAACTCTCTAACTCTAAATGGAGGAAAATAGTATACACATACCTCCTAAAAAAATAACAAAACCAAAGCTACAACGGAAATAATACCGACACCACGACCCCACTGATCAGCCCGAGCTTAACATGTTTTCCTG